TTGAATTGAATTGAATTGAATTGAATTGAATTGAATTGAATTGAATTGAATTGAATTGAATTGAATTGAATTGAATTGAATTGAATTGAATGGAACTGAATTGAACTGAATTGAATTGATAGCCGTTATATTGTTGTAAATTGCTGAATGTTTTCTAAAATTATTCAGGCGAATCAGGCGAGATTTTTCAGGGCTTTTGTGTTTTCCAGAGCTGCAATTGTTTAAAATACCATTCTGTATTAACATAATAAACTAACCTTCTGTGAACTAAAATGTGTTATTTTTAATTTTTGGTTCCGTAAATTCACTAATAGCGGAACCAACATCTCATTTAGCAAATTAGCTTTTTTGCTAACTTTGGAAACCGTTATCGAACCAATTAGCTTCTGTTAAATTAGGTTCCACTAAATCACAAGTGTAAAACTTATCTTTTATGCCATTTATCCCAAATTAAATAAAAACTATCCACTCTTACAAGCAATGGATGTGTCACAACCGTGTGTGTTAGCATGTAGCATCTTTAGCACTTCAAAGTAAAAGCATCAAAACAAAATAAAGTAGCATTTTACAACATTTAAACAACAAATATCAAAATTGACTATGTACAAATTATGTCCTTGCTATTTGTTTGACTAACTTCAAAATGTATAAAAATACAAACTTGCAAACTTGATCAAAAAGTTAATTTTATTCTGAAAGGGGAAACTGAAGGTATCACAACATAGACAGAGCTATGGATTGGCCAATTTGCCACAGATGATCCCGCCCACCTTCAAATTAAACCAATAGAATTCTAACAACATCTTAGCATCAGTCATGCTAACCATCTTGGCAGTTAGCATTAGCATACACTAATTTTTTGGTTTAGCGCTAGCAGAGCTGAAATTCTTATTTAGTGGGTTAGTGTTTGTAAAGCTAACGTTTTGGTTAGCTTTGCCCACCACTGGTTATATTTATGTACACAGCAGCACCTTAGTGTTTTATAAATAAAGGTAGATGATGGAACATTTCATGAAATGATGGTTGTGTGTTTTGGCTCAGGCTACACGGAGGCCGAGCTCCTCCACACCTACAGCAAAGTGAATCCTCTGGACAAACTGATCCTGTGTGTGAGGCTGGCTGTCCTGGTGGCCGTCACCCTGACCGTACCTGTGGTCCTGTTTCCTGTAAGAACCTGAAAATAAAAAACAGATCATGTTATTAAAATGAAACGTAAAACCTCCAAATGTCCGTTTTCCCCACAGATTCGCCGAGCCCTCCTACAGCTGCTGTTTCCAGGAAAATCCTTCCACTGGGTCCGTCACATCGCCATCGCCGTCTGTCTGCTCTTCGCCGTCAACCTGCTGGTCATCTTCGTCCCAAACATCCGAGACATTTTTGGCATTTCAGGTGCGTATTCAGACACAAGTACATGTTTGTTTTTTCTCAAAACTACAACTGGATGAAAGAAAAGTTCTAAATATTATTTTACAATCTGTACGTAGCTTTTTAAACAATTTAGTTTGGAGAAAAGGTTTATTTCTGATAAGTTGATGAGCTAAGAGCTAGTCTGAGTGAGATCAGAGTTTCATGTGACGGCAATAAACCTTTACACTGTTGTCAGATTCACCCAGGCATTATTAATCTTTTGTTGAGTTGAAACACCTTGAGATCCTTCAGAAGGAATAGAGTCGCTGATATCATGGAGTTCATGGTGTTTCCCTCCTGAAACTATTGGCTTTGTAACCCAACCAAGGAAAATAGTCTTTGGATGGATGGTTGGATGGATGGATGGATGGATGGATGGATCGATGGATGGATGGATGGTTGGATGGATGGATGGATGGATGGATGGATGGATGGATGGATGGATGGATGGATGGATG